TGAGAGGAAAAGCATTCTTGACTATGTCTTTTATCTTGGGTCTATAGCTTTTTCTTGGACATCCAAGAAACAAGGAATTGTTGCCTTATCTTCATGCGAGGCAGAGTATATAGCAGTTTCATTCACTGTTTGTGAAGTGATATGGTTGAGAAATGTTTTGAAGTAATTGAATCATCCACAAAAAGAGTCTATAGTGATACACGTGGATAACAAATCAACTATAAAGCTCGCGAAGAATCCTGTGCAACATGGAAGGAGCAAACACATCCATACTCGGTTTCACTTTCTCAGGGATTATGTAATGCAGAAGACCATGGAGCTTAAGTACTGCCATACCATGAAGCAAGCAACTGATATTTTTACAAAGCCATTGTCAATTGAATCTTTCAGTAGATTAAGAGATTTGCTCGACATGAGTACGCTTTGATTTGAGGGGGATTGTTAGAAGTGGTCAAAGCAAAACCGTCAAATCTGGTGGAATAAATGTGAGACTATTAAGCTTCTAAGCTGATGGAAAAAAAAGGACCCTTGGGTTTTGAAACATAGAGTAATTTTGGGGTTGTATTTCCTCAGTTAAAGGCCTTAAAGTAGAGAGCCTGGTATTTTGTTTTTCATAGCCTATAAATAGGGCCTATTTCTTTGCAGTTTAATATATGAATAGAGTTGTTGAGTTCTCAATTTCTTAAGTAGAGTGTAGAGAGAAGAACAGGTGCCCAGTTTGAAAACTCTGTCACCTGCAATGTGTTGGTTAGTTCTACGATAGATCAGGAGTCTAGAGCTTGGAATTTAGATCGATTATATGAAGTGTTCGAACCGGAGGAATTTCTTCTATTCCAATATTCCAAACGATCGCAGGATTAGCACTATACGATGTAAGAGAAGTTCAGAGTCAGGAGTGCCTATCACTTGATTATGGAGAGANCAAATGACTGACAATCACATGTTCCCCTTACACCTTAACATGCAGTTCGAGAAGTACCTCCAAGGACTCGTGCAAAATGATACTTGGAAGTGGCATTTTTGTTTTGGCCATCTACATTTTAGTGGGTTAAAGCTACTATTTACAGCTCGCATGGTAAATGGTTTACCAATGATCAAGCCACCAAACCACATTTGTGAATGATGCATACTTGGCAAGCAACCACGACTTCCTTTTCTTAGTGCCAAATCTTGGAAAGCAAAGGCATTGTTGCAACTTGTTCACACAGACATTTGTGGTCCATTGGAGTCCATTTCACTTTGAGGTAGTAGATATTTTATTACTTTCATCGATGATTTTAGTAGAAAGATTTGGGTTTACTTTCTTAAAGAAAAATCTGCCGCTTTAATTACATTCAAGAATTTTAAATCTCTTGTTGAAATGGAGAGTGGCCACAAGATTGTAACTCTCCGATCTGACAAAGGTGGCAAGTACACCTCAAATGCATTTCAAGAGTATTGCAGGGAACAAGGAATCAGGCATCAGTTCATGACTGCTTATACACCACAGTAGAACAGGATTGTAGAAAGAAAGAATCTCACTATTTTGAATATGACAAGAACCATGTTGAAGGAGAAAGGACTGCCAAAATAGTTTTGGGCAGAAGCTATAGCGTGCTCTACATACCTGCTCAACAAATGCCCAACGAAGAGTGTCAATAATATGACACCTCAAGAAGCATGGAGTGGTTGCAAGCCTAGTGTGGCACACCTACGAATTTTTGGGTGTCTTGCACATGCCTAAGTTCCCGAGTCCAAGAGGAAGAAGCTTGATGATCGTGGTGAGAAATGTATCTTTATAGGATATAGCTAGGAGTCAAATGCATATAAGTTCTACAACCCTCTAACAAAGAAAGTAGTGGTTAGTAGAGATGTTGTGTTCAACGAAGAAGAAATGTGAAGTTAGAGCGATGAAAAGACACCCAAAGTATAACCCTGTATGGAGGAACCAGAAGAACCCTCACCGGTAGTTGCACCACTAGGTGCACCACCATCTCCTCAGCCTGTTACACCTTCTATAGTCCTGAGAGGATCCCCGCCTTTTGTGGGAGATAGCAGCAATAGATCCTCCACACAAATTAGAATGAGAAGCCTTAGGGAGATCTACTCAAAAACAGAAGATGGAGAAACAATCTCCTATGCCTATATGCGGAACATGGGCCTCTCACCTTCCAAAGAGGCCATGAAAGAAGATTGTTGGAGATCAGCGATGGAAGATGAGATCCATGCCATAGAGAAGAATGATACCTGGGATTTAACAACACTCCCACAAAACCAAAAGGCGATTGGTATCAAGTGGGTGTACAAGATCAAGCGCACGGCAGATAGTGAAGTTGATCATTACAAGGCTAGACTAGTAGCTAAAGGCTACAAACAAAAGTATGACATCGACTATGATGAGATCTTTGCACCAGTTGCGCGACTTGACACAATAAGATTGTTGATCTCACTTATTGCTCACCATAGTTGGAAGATATACCAACTTGATGTCAAATCAGCTTTCCTCAATGGCATTCTAGAGGAAGAAGTGTACGTACAAAAACTAGAAGGTTTCTTGGTAGAAGGAAAGGAGCGCAAAGTTTGTCGTCTAAAGAAAGCTTTGTACGACTTAAAGCAGACACCAAGGGCTTGGAATGCACGCATTGATAGTTTTCTTTATTTAAGTGATGAAAGGCTTCACCAGATATCCATATGAGCACGCTGTCTACATGAAGAAGAACTATCAGGGCGAATCTCTCATCATTTGCCTTTATGTTGACGACTTACTATGCATAGGAAATAATGCTGAAATGATCAATGAGTTCAAGCAATCCATGCTCAAGAAGTTCGAGATGACAGATAATGGATTGATGTCCTATTTCCTGGGTATTGAAGTAAAGCAGCAAGATGATGGGATTTTTATATCTCAAAAGAAATATATAAAAAAGATCTTAGAAAAATTCAAAATGGAAGGCTGTAATCCTGTAAACACCACAATGTCAACAGGCACGAAGTTGTCAAAAGAAGGAGACGGAGAAGTAGTCGAACCAACTCTTTACAAGAGCTTAGTTGGAAGCCTGAGGTACTTGATAATCACAAGGTTAGATATTGTCTATTGAGTTGGGCTTGGGAGTCGATACATGGAGACACCTAAGAAGTCTCATTGCCTAGCTACAAAAAGGATCCTAAGGTATATTAAAGGCACACCCAATCTTGGTCTTTTCTATACTTATGGTGAATATGCACAGTTAGTTGGATATTCGGATGGTGATTGGGGAGGCNGTGTCGCTAAACTCAGAGGGATATTCCTTCCTGTGTTGTGTCCTCTGTTTGGTCTACTCCCCCGGTGGGTGTTGTAAAGATCAATTTTGATGGATCTGTTTTTACGACAACCAAAGTATTGGGTGTAGGTGTGGTAGCTAGAGATTGGAGGGGAAATTTTCTTGTGGGATTAAGTAAAATTTTCAAATGCCCACTAAATGCAGAATATGTGGAGGCCTTGTTTTTTTATGCTACGGAGATGGGGGTACAAATGGGATTCGGAAGAATTTTGTTAGAAGGCGATTCGAAGGCTGTCATAGAGGATATTGGGAGAAAGGATTAGAACTTATCAGCATCTGGTGTTTTCATTGAGGAAATCCAACGGATGTCTGAGAACCTAACTAAGTTTTCCACCTCTTAGATTAAACATTCTGCTAATATAGTAAATGATGATAGTTTATCTCGTTATGCAGAACAGTGTAATGATTCTAGTCATTGGAGCCAGTAAAAGACTAGTGCCCACACTCAACTTTTTCCCTTAACAGTTTTAAACTATAAATGTCATAATTTTTTTTTAATTTTTATTAATAATACCCACCTTATTTGTACCGAATATACCATCATACCTATCTGACTACTAATTTTTGGACAAGTTTCTAACACATTCAAATAAGTTTTGGATATATTTAGAGCAACTTCAAGGGGAGTTATCATTTTTAGGGTGCCAAATACTATTTTATGACTTTGAACAGTGTTTTGGCATTCTGAATTATAAATTTGCACCAATGGTAGGTGTCATTTTAATATTTTAATATTTTTTATTAAAAAATATAGTTAAACTTAATTAAAACAATAAATTTTTCATAAATTATAAACAATTTATAAATTATAAATTGTATTACTAATTGTAAATCAAAACAAGAACAGAGGTGGCAGATGTAATTATAAATTACAAAGTCTTCCTCTTCCCCTAAATAAAACACTTCCTACCCCTACCCCTTCCCCTTCCCTTTCCCTAGATCATCTGCTTCACCTTCCTCCCCTTCCCCTACGCCCTCTGCAACTTATTATAATGACAACGGTTTTAAGGAGAAGTACACCAACGGATCGATAGGGAGCAGTAAACCAACGGTTTCAGGGAGCAGTACACCAACGACAAGGGCTTAGGGAAGCTAGGATTTTCGATATCAAAGGCAAGGGTTCAAGAAAGCGATATTCTGGGAGTAGTACACACCAACAGATTTCAGGCAAGCCTCATTCCCCTTTGCTCTCTCTGTATTTTTATAGAATTTTTGGATTGAATATAGCCGTTGAAAGGAACAGTAGACCCAACGACTATTTTGTAATCTCTTAATTCTCTCTCCAAAGTTGTCAAATATGTCACCCCAAAACCTTAGATGTCATTTTACCACCTTTGATGTCACCCCCAATTGGGGTCTGAAATTTTTGAAGTTGGGATACCATTTTAGCGGTTATAGGGATGTCACCCCTAATGGCAACTCTCGTTGGAGTTGCTCTTAGGTCATCTTGTAATTTTTAAAAAGAAATTATGAGATTATTTTAGCATTGTATAAATTTGGGTTCATCATATAATCTATGAGGAAACAGGTTTAAATATGAAAACTAATTGGATCAATCGTAATTGGGCATTATTAATTTATTTTTTTATAAAGGGTTAAGGCTAGTCTTTTTGTTATTTTTTGTTTACATACATTGTATGTACATATTTTTAATCTTTGTTATTTAACGAATTGTCAAGTATCAAATAAGATGTGAATAAATATTAATATATCATAAGTGTTTTATTGATTTGAAAAAAAGAAACAATAGGTCCCCAAATTAGATCCTATAACATTGTTCTTAATTAAGACAAAAGAAACACAGTTCTGCTTACTTGAGCGATTGAACCCTGTGCCACTGTGAACCACTTTTCTGTAGAAATTGACAATACATGGATCATGGGATAAGAAAAATGTAGATATTAAGAAACATAAAGGTTCTTCACAAGGAGAAACTTACAGAGACTTTAATGGACAATGTTCAAGAAGGTTGAAATTGATCAAAATTTTCATCTGGGCAATGTCGGGCCACTCACTGCCAATCCCCTCGGCATATGCCTTTGATAGAGGACAGAAATAAAACCGGCAGAGACTAATAGAGAGATGTAATTCTTCAAGACAAGAAATATTCTCCAATCAAGATAAAATCGCCCAGTCTGAATGCCTGAAAAAAGACTATACAAGGGGTCATGTAAAAGAAAAAAAAAAAGTAGACTCAATGTCGTACAAATCTAATACATCGGAATCTGCACCGTCTTATTTGTTTGCATCACTAGGACTCGAAGTGGTACATGAGAAAGGAACACCTGCAAGACACGGGAAAGAATTGAGCTCCTTTGTTTATCCCGTCGGCGTAACAAGGCAATATTTGACAAGCTATATTAGTTAAAAAAGAGAGAGAATGCAGTCCTTGTATGTATACCTGGAAAGAAGGATTGTAGCCCACTTGCCAAACATGTTAAGAACCAACTACGGGTAATATAATCAAAGTTCGAATGGATCCCAGGTCTTCCCTGCTTGGAAAACTAGAGAAGTGTGCAACCCTCGACATGGAACGTTTGAAGAGATGGAAGAGTGTCAAGACCATCTGGCAAACAAGTCAACTTCGAACAAGAAATAATGTCTAATCGAGATAGAGAACACAATGTTCTTATATCCGGAAAGGAGCTGAGATTAGGGCAAGATTCCACCCTCAAGGTGTGAAGGGATGTGCAGGATTGTAGCCCACTTGGCAAGCAAGTTAACCCATCACACCCTGTAAGTTGCAAATCTCGAAGGGTTGTGAGGCCTTGTATGCTTGGAATGGACTTGAGATTTGGGCAATCTTGTATAAGTAAATTCTCGAGAGATGAAAGCCTTTGGAGACCATCTGGCAAACAAATCAATTTCGAACAAGAAATGATGTTTAAACGAGAAAGAGAATGCAACGTTTGTATGTCTGGGAAGTAGATGAGATTATGGCAATATCTCACTCTCAAGGTATCGAGAGATGTGCAAGATTCTAGTCCACATGGTAGGTATCTTAATCCATCGCACACCCCAATTTCAAGATATCGAAGGGTTCTCAGTCCTTGTATGCTTGGAATGGACTTGAGGTAAGGGCAATTTACTATAGTCAAATTCTCAAGAGACGAAAGCTTGTGGAGACAATCTAGCAAACAAGGCAATTTCAGACAAGAAAAAATTTCTAAACGAGAGAGAGAACACAGAGTTTGTATATTTGGAAAGAAGATGAGAGTACGACAATATTTCACTCTCAAGGTGTCGAGAGATATGCAAGATTCTAGCCCACTTGGTAGGCATGTTAGTCCATCGCAGACCCCCATTTCTAGATATCGAAGGTTTGTGAGACCTTGTATGCTCGGAATAGACTTGAGATTAGGGCAATTTTTTATAGTCAAATTCTCAAGAGACGAAAGCCTGTGGAGAGAATCTGGCAAATAAGTCAATTTTAGACAAGAAGAAATTTGTAACCGAGAGAGAGAACGCAGTGTTTGTATATCTGGAAAGGAGACGAGATTTGGGCAATCATCCACCACAAATGTCTCAAGAGAGGTGCAGGATCGTAGCCCACTTGGCAGACATGTTAACCCCTTACACCTTAGAAGCTCCAAATTTCGAAGGGCTGTGAGGCCTTGTATGCTCGGAATGAACTTTAGATTAGGGCACATATGAATTGTCAACACTTCAAGGCAAGGAAATATTTGCACCACGCTTGATTCTGCTACTTCCATCCATTCCGTTAGGTTTGGCATATCAAGCAGTGTTAATCTTCTCAAAGCAGGAAACAATGCCTTTGTCACTTCACCACGATGACTGGCGTCCAACATTTTACAATCACGGCCGTAGAATGACTCACCTATGCAATGTACACCATCCATTCCTCGCAACTCAAGATCTCGCAGAAGTGGTAGTTGGCCGAGCATCGGTATTTGTTCACAATTACAGCAGTCTTGCAACTTGATCTTCACCAAATTGTTGAGTGGCAACAAGGAACCATTTCCATTAATACGCACAGCCATCGTTATCACCCATGATGGCAACTTACGACCCACAAAGTTATAGATCTTTAAGACCTTTAAGTTTGGAGAAGGTTGGAGGCCTTTCAAGACATCCTCAGCACTGATATTACCTCGCCAAGTAGATCCCCATAAAAGTTTCAACTTGTATATATTTTCCTTTCCAGATAAATCTGCTTTTTGGGCTTCCTCTCTACCACTTACTTGTTCAAGATTGCTTATCACCAGCTTGCCTCTGAGATTTCCTAAATATCCCAGCTCTTCAATTCGACGACCCTTGTCTTTACCAACGCAAAAGAATGGTATAGTTTGTAGACAAGTTAACTGCCCCATCTCCATTGGCATCTCGCAAGTGTCATCAAAATAGAGATGTCTTAGGCTAATCAAATTTGTAAGTTCTTTAGGGAACAAGTTAAGGTAGTTGCATCCTTGGACTCTTAATGTTTGCAAATTGTAGAGCTTGGTAATAGTTTTTGGCAGAACTTCGATGGAAGTCTCTGACAAGTCGAGATACCTCAAATGTATCAACTTGCTTATTGAAGATGGCAACTCTGCAATATCAGCCCCATGGAAACACAAGACACGCAAACATGTGAAGTTCAAAAACATGTTGTTAGGTATAATTCTCCTTGAGAATAATGTCTGCAACCTTTTAGCACTGCCTTGCTGAATTGTACCAATTATGTCTGTATCTGTATAGAGTGCTAAATGGCGAACAGGAGGAATTTCAATTCTGGTATTAGCCTCAAGAGTAAAGCACTCAGACAACGAAATTGATCTTGCAAGATCATGCACCAAATCATGCATTTTACAATATTTAACATTATCATAATCACCCTTCTCAATATCTTGAAAAAAGGAATTCTGTAACAAATTTCTAAAATGCTGATTACCTATATCCTCCATTGACATGTTGCTTCCTTCATTTGGTTGAAGAAATCCATAAGCCATCCATATTTGAATTAGTTGTTCCTTTTCTATGCGGAGATTCTTGGTGAATATTGAACAATATGCAAAACATTGTTTTAAAGATGCTGACGACAAATGATCAAAACTCAACTTAAGTATTGTAAGAACTCCTTTTTCATCTCCAACTAAACTCCTAACTCCATTTGAAATTTCCCACCACTCATGTTTTTCCTTCTTGGAACTCATCATACTCCCAGCTACCTTTGCTGCTAATGGCAAGCCATTACATTTTTCTGCAATCATCCTTCCTATGGCCACCAAATCTGGAGTCATTGGAGCTCCTCCGTTTGCAAACGCCTTTTCTCTAAATATGGACCAACAATCTTCTGATGATAATCTTTCCACATAATGCCTTGTGAGTGTCTCCACAATTGATGCCACTTGAACACTGCGTGTAGTAACCAAAATGTTATTCCCATTGGCTATATTAACCCTTACCAAACAAGACTTAAAATCGTCCCACTTATTATGATCATCATTCCACATGTCATCAAGTATGAGCAGATATTTTTTTCCTTCTAGCTCTTCCTGAAGGCCTTCAAGAATTGCGTTCTTAGTGTCCACCTCACACTTCCTTTTTGTTTGAGATTCTAGGATCTCTTTCAAAAGCCTTTTGACATCAAAATAATCGGATACAGACACCCAAATTCTCACATCGAAATGTCTCTTTATATGTTCATCATTGTAGATCAATTTAGCCAAAGTTGTCTTTCCAACACCAGGCATTCCCACAATGGGAATCACGGAGACAACCTCTTGATTTCTCGGGTAAGTTAACATTTCAATAATACTTGACGCATCATTTTCCCTTCCTACAACCTCGGATTTGTCGAGAAATGAGTCGGTCTCCCGGTCTACAGTAAATTGAGGAGAAGCCAGTATTCCTGCACCTCCCCTTTGGAGACCAAAATCAATTGCTTCTTTGTTGATCTTATCCAAGGATGAATTGATGTTCTTGATTTTATGAGCCATTTCGAGACGGAACGCAACCGGATTGGAAGTCAAAAAGAAGAAACGTACCTTTCTCCTCATGTCATTTCGGATCTCCACCTTACGTCGGAGAATTTCATAGGCAATCTCATCCAAGACATCATCGGCTTCATGAGCTAAATCTTTAAGATTCTCAAGCCAAATCCTAACGGACTCTTCGGTGGATTGTAGCCTTTCGGTGTCGGCTAACACAGCCTGAATCATTTTTACTGATTTTTTTAGCCTATTCAAGTCACCTTTGAAACCCCATGCTAGGCTGATTTCTTCACCTGCAAGCGAGAGCACTTTCTTCAGTATTACTTCCGTAGCAGCATTAAGCAAAGGTTCACTTATCATCGCCATTGTTGTAGGAGAGAGAGATGCTCACCGAGGATTTGGATATGTGGTTGTTAACATCATTGCACGTACGCTCTATTTTGTGGAAAAGTCAGCGAGTCAGCGTACCCTAAATGAATTCACAAACAAGAGATATTACCATTTCAACTTAAAATTTTAATCTCATATATTGATTTGATGATGTAATTTTATTGAAATTATTAAATAAAAAATAAATTTAAATATTTAATAAAATTTAAAATCAATCCAAATATTATAGTGAATTAGGTCAACAAATGAGATCAAATTTTTAAATTCAAATAACACTACTTATATATAATACGAACCCAAATAATTTAAATGATAATAGAGACAAATTGTAATGTTAGACATTCTGAGTTTGAATTTTGACAATTTTTTAGGGTCAAATTATAGGGGATTTATTTCTCACGAATATTTTAGTTCTCACATAGATGACTTGTGTTTGATCAAACTGAAGAGGAGATTAGTTGAGATGTGTTTAAATTAACTCAAATATCCTTGATCGTAGAAAAAAAAAAATAATAAGAGTAATACAACTTGGACCTAATAAGTTCTCTTAATAATTATTATTATTAAATTAACAGCAATCTAAGTATTCATTAATTTAAATTAAAGGTTGTGACACAATGTTAGCCCTGTCAAATTCCAATATGATACGCTTAACAGACACGAATTAAGCAGGTTTGTGTGAGACTTTAACGGGTTCGGGTGGTAAATAGGTTGACCTGTCAAACGCGTTTAATAAACGGGTCGTATTTGAGTGAGTCCTATCAACCCATTTATCACTCATTTACCTATTTAAATAATATTAATATAATAATAAATTAATAATTATTTTTAAAAAAATTTATATAATATAAATATATTTTAACTATTAATTTAGATTTTGAATCATACATAAAAATAATAATATAAATGAAGTTAAAAAAAAAAAATTGATTAGGAATTTTTTTTTGTTTTAAAATCTGCGTTGTATAGAAGTATCCCACGTGAAGTAGGAAGACAAAGCCCATGCTAGAAATTGCCTATAAAAAAAATGGGCAACCCGTGATTACTCCTACATTGGGTTTCACGTGAAGCATTTATTTGGTGCTTTATACAGCTGGAGTCAATAATGAGTTCTTTTTAATTGGTGTCAGTCGAAAATTTTGACTTGACTTTTATAATGTATTTTTAGCGGTGAATTGTTGTTAAATTGGTTAAACGAGTCGTGATGTATTACTTGTTTATTAAATAATTTGTGTTCGTGTTAAAATCTTTTATCAATTTATTAAATGTGTAGTGTATGAGTTTATATGTTTTTCACTTGTCACCCGTTTAACTCGATATATTTGACTCCCCTATCCACTATCACACTGAAAAAGGTAAATGTTTATCACAATTAGTTCAAAATATATAATGATTAATTTACAAAAATTAAAATCAGATCCATCTTAAATTACTGAATATGAATTTTGAATCATAATTGAATTGATGTCTCAGATTTACTTATCAATTTGACTCTTATATCGGAAGAAGTGTGTACCGACACATAGCCCCTTTAGTTCAAAATACGATTTAGGGTTAAGTTATAAATAAAAAAAAAGGGGGAGGGGTTGAGATTAATCCCATCATTTTAGGATTGATTTAAAAAAAAAAAAATCAACTTTTGGGGTCTAGTTATACTACTTTTGGGTGGAGTTACATTGTTTTTGGGGTGTTTGTGATCAACCCTAAAATCAACTTTTGAGATACTATTATACCATTTGTGGGTGAAGTTACATTTGTTTGGAGGTGTTTAGAATTGATACCAACCCCTAACCATTCAAGTCAGTATTTTTGTTCCCTACTTAACAAATAAATTGACATGAGCTCGATTATACAAGTTTTATACATGACATAAATTTCATAAAATACAAATATAATTATTTTCTAAATCTAAATTATATATAAATTAGGGTTTTTCACACTTTGTATTCTGAAAAATGTCTTGATTCTCACTTTGTACCCTAAATGTCATAAATTGGTTTCAATGTGACCCTCAGACTAACGTTCATTTTAAATTTCGTTAAAAATTAATGCACATGTCACTCACGTATGTTACTCTTAGTTAAAAAATATAAACTCGTCATTTATATCATTACGTGACACGTGTATCAATTTTTAATTGAATTTGAAATAGATGTTAGTCCGAAAGTCACATTGAAACTCATTTATGACATTCAGTGTGTAATGTGAGAAAAATAATCTTTTGAGGTGCAAAGTAAAAATTGATACATCTTTTAAGGTGCAAAATGCAAAAAGCCATATAAATCAAACAAAATTTGGCGACAATAACTTGAAAAGAATTCTTCGTGGTTCTCTGTTTGGTGGAAGACTCAGTGTAGCCTTACACTTCCTGGAAGACTTTAGAAAATTGTCCTAGTTTTAAGACAAATTGTACTTTATACCCTAAAATATTTTTTAAAAATTATTTTAAACTCTTAAATATTAAAGTATTTATATTATACCCTCAATATATTGAAAGTATTATAATGCAACCCTTCCGTAAACTTCCGCTGCTTATTCCGTCAATGTCAATGGCGTAATTTTTGATGGAATGAGTAATAAAAGGTCACATAAGGGCCACATTACAATACTTTTAATACATTAAGAATATAATGTGAAAAATTTAATCTTTAAAACTATAAAATAATATCATTAAATCTTTTGGGATCCAAAGTACGATTCTCCCAAGATTTATTACTTGTGTTGTAATTAATGTGGTTGAATAGGGCAAACAACATGTTAATCTATACTACTTGTAAATGTAACGTCTTCGAAAAACTTTTGATTTCTTATTTTATCCCTAATTATTATGATAAAATCAATTATATCCAATTATTTACTTTCATCTAATTTTTGTTTTTTATACCTATTTGAATTTTAACTTGTTTTGAACTCTTTTATAACGACTTTTAAATTTTTTTTGAACTCATTTATTAATAGTATAGTTATAAACAATTATATATATATATATATATGAAGAAGTAAAGTCCTATATATGTTAAATTATTATACACATATAGTAATTGAGTTGAATTCCACAGTAAAATATATATTATATTATATTTTTTAATATGTAATAATATTATAGGCGATCTAATTAATTTATTTAATAAAATAAAAATTAATAATTTTATAATATAATTATATGTGCAAATACTTAAAGGGGTCGAAGAGATACCTAAATAAATAACAGTTTAGTTACTCAAAAACTTACAGAATAAATTAATAACTAAATTTAGTAATAATTAAAATACGGATTAATTATTTAACACCTAATCAATTATTTAATTTAATTACACATGTAATTTAAATTTTTTATAAAAATAATATTATTTAAATTTATTTACCTGAAACGCATGTTGTTAGTTTGATATGAAATTGAGATAAAATTGCTGATAGGACTTTAATTTTAAAATCAACTTGGCACAAGTTATATGGTGGGCAATTTGGTCAATTTATGATGTGGATATTTGTTATTTTATTTTTAATTTGTTATGATATGTGTATTAGTGTCTGAAGGACATAAATTATGTACGTGTAGTACATAAAGTATTTTATATAAATTATATACCTGTAATAAATAAAATATTTTGTATAATTATGTACTTCCAGTGCATAAATAATTTAAAGTAAATCATGCCCTTAAAGAACATGAAATATCCTAGTACCCATAGTACATAAAAATTGGTAGTGCTAGAAAAAAACACAAATTATATGCTTGAAGTTTGTAAATTATTGTGATGCCCAAAGATGACAATTTAATTTGTAGTACTTGAAACTCAAATGAGTGATTACAAAACAGAGCCTAAAGCTCGTAATTTATTAAATGCTGAGAATACATAAAATCGTGTCAATAGCACATAAAATCGTGTCAATAGCACGTAAAATAGTAGTTGATGCGTTGCACGTGGACCAATTCGACTGAAACACATAATATATTATAAATACATATATGTGGAGAAACAGAGGGGGGGGCGAGAGAGAGAGAGAGAGAGAGAGAGAGATGGGGACAAAGAGTCCGACTAAAACATTTGCCAAAAACTCAGTATAAAAAATAATGGGAATTATCTATCTAAGACTAATTCTATAATGTTTTCAAGATTAACGAAATTCAACAAAATATTTGGATTGATACAAAAATTATTTTTTTACCAACCTAACTTTATAGCTAATAAAGCATATGCATTTCCCTAAATGAAAACAATCCACAAAAAATTCTATTACGTGGTTAAGATCTTATTTTAGATCACTATTGACTCTAGCAAAAGTGCAAATTATTAGACTCTGATGTGAATTATAGTGCTTTGCTAGAAATTAGACGATATGAATCACAGTGCTTGGTTAGGAAAAGAAAACACACTAAACAACATCTACCAAAGCAGTAATACAATAGCATGGAGTGAGCTAAAAGGAGTCTAGTCCATTACGCAATTAAAAAATAATCAAAGCCAATGTAATTAGTATCTTTCAACAAGCCAACAATTACTTCTTGATAGAGTTATATACTAAAAACTTATTTTTTATAAAGAAACTCAATTTATTACTTAATAAAAGTTATTTGTTTTCTATTTCAATGAGAATCTATGTGGATAAAATATTTGCATTATATTAAATATATGATAAGCATGTGTGTCTTTTATTTTACATTATAGATAATATGGTGTGTAGAGTTAGGTTTATACACATATCAGATTATCAGATCCTTGTACATTGTAGTTTCTTCATTAGGCCCTGACCGGAGATCATCTGCAATTACTTCATCATTTTCAACGTTTGAACCTACATTTGGAATTTCCATTGCCTCGTGTACCATTTCGACCATATTTTCCTGAAGATCTAAACCAATTGAAGTTTTGTTTTTCCTAATAGCCATACAATGGCATGTAGGGTTTTCCATGGTTAATCCAATTCTTGTACTTCTTTAAGAAGTCATTGGAAATAAGATGAACTCATACTACTTCTCTTGACCAAAAGAAGCGATTTGCACAT